TTATGGTTGCATCTTTCAGTTATAGTTGCAGTTACAGTTGCACGGTCATTTCCCACATAATTCGACTATCCTACATAGACATCTGTTCTCAGATGACAGGAGCTAACAGGTAAATTTAACATATAAAATGCACTAAAGCTAAAGCCCTATTAAGGCAGATTCTTGAAATTAGCTTAGTAGTATTGATTCGTCCAACAGTTTGTTTTAATATTTCATATTTTTCTTTAGAAGCCATGTTTTATGCGCTTAAGAATGTTAAAGCAAAAGTTATACAAGCAAAGTGCTCACTTGCAATCCTCTTGAACATGATTGAACATTGCTAATTCATAATCACTGATAATAGGAACGCTATACAAAGCACAGTAGGTGGAAACCGAAGCATTGATATATGGAGCAGGAGCTTTATTTTCTGACACCAAAAACTGTAGAAGAAACATCACTAATACTCACCGAGGTATTACGAAAGTGCGATTTATATACATGAGTTAAGAGTGATAAGAAAAAGAAAAGAAGAAAAATTATACATCTGAGTTCATCGTCGTCTGCATCCTCATCTAGATGGCGCATTACGAACACATCACTCGGATACAGTTACTGTTGCAGGATCATTTCCCTCATATGAATGAATATTATCTGTCTACAAACAACATGCCAATTATGTATTCTTATCTGAAGATTTTAATTTGCATTTTGTAGGTAAATAAAAGTTTTCATTCAGAAATAAGCAAGTAAATCAAGTCTAAAATTCTATACATTCATTGCACGAGTCCGTCTGGAACTTAGAGCCAGATTTAGGGTTGGCTTAGTTATAACATAGGGGATCTGATATGAAATGTCTGCGATTCAAAAAACTAAAGTTTAACTTCGTTTCTTACAGTAATTTCTTTACTTATTTTATGTGACTCTAAAATTTACCCATAAACCGTACTTTGAAAGACTGGATTAGGATAGATTGTTTGATAAAGAAAATAACTTAATCCTAAGGATCACACTCCCCATCAGAAGGGATACCTTCATGGAGGAACTCTTAAAGGAAACTTGTTAGCATTTATGTTGCACTGAAGAAATCTCAAAAATTTTATAAAGCAAGCTCATTCAGTCACCAGGAGCAGAGGTCAAGGCAAACTGCTAATATTTTACAGCTTTAACTCTGCGCACCAGTCAGCCAAAATATTTTTTTATTACCAAAGCGAGAAGTGAGATGACAAGAAAATGTTTGACCACTGAATTTTATCTAGTTTTCTCTAATTTATTCTGCTTTTTCGTTCATATGTACTTAACAGTTTACATTAATGTATTTATCCCGAAAACATTTACAGAAAAATCATTATTTTCGAAATAGTGTAAATTGAATAAATATCGAACTGACTGGCTTAAGATATTCTTCAGAAAATATGTTCAGCAAAACTTCAAAGAAAAAATATACTGTGTTATTATTAATATTTATAAACATCGTGCTTATTGATATGATTCCAGAGCTGCTCGAAACATTGCGCTGGGTTTACAAAGCTTTCGTAAAAACATTTCCATGTGAGATGATATTGTATATCTTAGTAATTAGGAAATTGAAATTCTAGATGTTTTAGCAAATGAATAAATGTTTGATTTTGACGTAGAAATATACATGAGAAAGTTATATATGTAACTAATGAAATATATATAACAAAGAAAGGAAATGACTCTACATAATTGGTTTAAAGATTTCCTTTCAGTTGCTTTGCAACGCATTGGTAGCTTTATTTCTTGTATTATTCTTTAGCATTATTTTTTTAAATAGATTTTTAGCTCAAAATAAAATAAAAATAAAACAAACATAAACTTGAAAGCTTTCAGATTTTACATTACGCTCAAAGAAGCATTTTTTAACGTTTTGTGTGTTACCTTTATTTATTAAATATCATGTTCTTCGCACTTAAACCACATAAAATTCAATTCAAAAGTAATATCACAAAATATTTAAAAACAGCATATCTTTAGAATTTCTGACAGACAGTCTCGCGCCCTGGAGGGAAAAAAAATTTCCCCAACACAATGTTGCCATTGTTAGCTTTGAAATCGTTGAACTTGTTAATCAGAATTTCATTAAAGCTCTATAAAATATGAAACAGATAATAAAAAAATTCGGAATTCAAAATTGGGTCTTCCACTGCCCATGTTCGGGTGGAGGATTACGTTATTCAAAATTTGATGGCTCTACGTACTGTCATTTTTTCACAGTGCGACAAACATGCATACATTCATGCAGATTATTCATTACTTAATTTCTTTAAATATAATACAGGGAGATAAAATTTGGTGGCAGCAATCTGAAAAGTGATTCAGCAGCTCATAGTGATTCAACGCAAAATCCCGTTTCGAGACTAACAGACCTTCTGAGCTAAAAAGGGGGTCCTGTTTAGCTGTTGATTATAGATTAGTTTACGTTCCCATATTTACAATTCTCCGACAGTCAGGCGAACTCGTACGTATGTTATTCTAAAAAAAAAATTGTAAGCGCAAGGTAGAGGAAACCAAGATAAGCAGATTTTGCAATGCAAATTGTATGTTGAAATGGCGCTGGGAAAGGTCTGGCACGTAAGGAAGGTGTTTTATTATTTATTATTATTTCGCCTATTTCACTTCTCAATGGACACTACAGGTCAGTCATGTTATCTTGATCGTTGCACCAGCAACCTTTTTTTGGATGTTACCAACCTTATTATTAATAAACAGATCTAACATTAGTGTATTAATTTTGTTGGGTGCTCCAACTTAGAATGTTTTGGGTCTATTAGTATAAAATTATCAAAAAGGGTTAATTAGTTTAGAGATATTTCCATATATACATGATTGGAGGCTTCCTGCCTTTACATTTCGTCAGGTGCCTAGACCTGGCTATGTGCTATGATTATGTTTCTCTTAGAATATACATATTCTATGATGGTTCTGACGCCCTGCTGTCTGTAGTAATCCCGAAGGTCTTTGAGGCTCTGTGATCCCTGGATCTGAGGAAGGGAGGCTGTGATGGAAGAAGTGAGTGTACAGTCGTGGAGGTAATGTGAGACGTCTGCTGAAGAAGTTGAGGCACGGCGGGCGCATTTGACGTTTTGATGGCAGAACCTGCTGAGGTACACGGGAAATCTTCCGTGATTTGCAAAAGCTTGTTGTAGATAGAAGTCTTTAAGACACAATAACACACCGAATAAATACTAATTCAGAAGTCAAACAACAAAAATCAGCGTTATATTTACAAAATTTTCACAGGACTAGTTTCGATGGTTTTACCGAACCACCATCCTCAGCTACAAAACCGCAAATGAACAAGATAGGAAATAATGATTAGATAAGATAAGAAAGCCTGGACAAGAATAAGCAAGTGGCGCTATCTGTTGGCGAAACCAGAACTAAAACATAATTCTTTAAAGGCCGAAGGTAAATTTGGATTGGAATTAGGATCGTTAACTAGAACAGAAAGATTTTTATGAATGTGAAAATGCCTCTAGAAAATCCAGTTCTCCGAGAAGGGAGACTGTATGAAGTTTCTCATTAAAACGCACGCTTATGTCCCTCCAGATCGTTTGCAGCATTTCCACCAGCATGTCTAAATGTTTTTAAGCTCTGCAATACACAAGAACTGAATTTAAGCGTTGTACCGGAATACTACAAAACATCATTATTAGGCAATTGTTTTTCATATACATCATTGCCACATTAAGTAATTAATATAATTTCTTATCGTTAATTAAAAATTTCGTGCAGTAATGGTTAAACGGTATAAGGTTTTTTGTGACGAACTATTGATCGGAGAATTTTTACACCGGGATATTCCGTACGATAGAACAAAATTTTATGGATTTGTATTGCTTTAAGTAATGTTTGGGTAAAAAGTTGAATTCAGTTATTCATGTACTGAAAACACTGGCATTTACCATTAATCTAAACATCACAGAAATTCGAGTATAAGGCTTTCATGGGAATGGTGTTTTCTAGATGAAATATTTTTTTTCAGTGTGAAAGCATGCCATATTATTCTGGTTGGAATCTATACAATGAGTTCAAAAATAGATACTAGATCTTTAAAAGAATAAAATGATTTCCGAAGATATCCAAGATATGCATTTTATTGGGTACAAATCGATCGCATGAAAGTTCCGAAAGCAAATATCAGTTCTAAGAAAATACCATTTCTACACCAGTTAAGTAGAAAAAACTTAAATATCAGTTAAGTATAAAATATGCAGAACAGCAGACACGTTTCTGTAGCGACTTTTAGAAGAAAAACAAATACGTAAAATATTAATATATCATTAAAATAATAATAGTGACGAGGAATAAATATACGAAATTTTATAAAGTAGTTCTCTCAGAAAGCAAACATTTCGCTTCTGTGTGGACATCTATTCTTGTCTCGTGGGTTAAATCAAACTGTTACAGGTAAAAGAGAAACAAATAGCAAATTGAATGCGTCATTTGAAGAATATCATATATAGTTATATGAAGCTTGGCCAAATTTTACGTCATTGCTCAATAACACAAATTCGAGATGCTGATTAATGTACGTAGTCATCTTTCAATTAGAGCAAAGGTAAAGATCTTTGATTCTCATTAGCGCTTCCGGTCGTCCCTTCGGATGCGAGATCATGATGAATTGAGTACGGAAAGGAGATTTTGGCATATCAAGTTACAATTTCGATGTGATACTTTGAGTAATAAATTTTGTTTTTCTTGCATTTGCACAATATTAGTGTTGCACAAGTCGTTTCGAAATCAAAAGTATAAGAGATAATGAATCCTGGAACAAAAATGAAAGAACATATGTATTTAAAAAAATGGTATGTTAATTGAAAAACAATGTAATTATATAAGACTGTCTAGTTATATCTAGACCATGTAAGGAGAGTAGACCGTAATAAGTCAAACGTATTTATACACTACGGTAGCTAAGTCTTACAATAATAAAATGACAGATGAAAATAGTCTTTATTAATAATATTAATAATTATAAAACATTTTTATTGCAGGTTGAATGGGCTGAGCAACAAATAGCAAAAAGGCGAGTAAAAAGAGAATTTTTATCTGGAGTTACAGCAAATTTCTTGCAGAAAACTACAAGAGAAAATAACAGATTTAACGACTATTTGTGGCCAGATCAGTGGTATTTGGTAAGTATATGAGCACTATAGAGCAAAATCGTAAAAGCTGAATTTACTTAGCTGAGTTTATTCATGAAATTTTATCAACAGTTTATTTAGTATTTTTGCCTGGTTGTCTTAAATTAATTCAAATTTTTTCATAAGAATTAGTTAAATTACTATTTTATCGTAAAGGTAAAATGTATAAGATTGGTTTCACGATTAACTCTTATATCAGTACTGCTTTGAAGTTTGCTTTTTCAAAAAATTAAGTAATTTTAATTGACAGCGAAGTCTTAGAATGTTTTTTTATCACGTCAAAATTTGCAGTTTATAGTTTGTTAATTATGTTTCATGTAGTGATGAATAAAATGAATTCCGATAATATAAATATTAATATATTGAGATATACATTATTACTAAGAGAATAATGTTTTGAAGAAAATTAATACTAGTTCAACTTGAATAACTTGATTTAATAGTCGAGTCTGTTATTCTTCTACCAAGTTAAGTACAGTGGAACCTCTAGATACGAGTTTAATTCGTTCCAGCATTGAACTCGTATACCAAATTTCTAATATCTAGAAACAAACTTCCCCATTGAAATAATGGAAATCTAGTTAATCCGTTCCGCGCTCCCAAAAATCTCATTACCATCTCATCTTCAGTCAACGTACGTGGTGTTTTTCGGAGAATTGTCCAAGTACAGTTTCTTAGCCTTAGCGCAAATGATAGCTTCCGACACCGAATTGCCTTTTAACTTTTCTCGTTAATCCACACCAACAACAGCTTCTCAACATCTTCTAGGTGTTTTGGACGGTGCTTGGAAGTAACGGTAACTCCTTTGGCTACATCAAGTTTTTTCATTTCTCCCTTCTTCTTCAGAATAGTGCAGATCGTCGATGTCGAACGGCCGTAAATCTTCGCCAATTCCGCCCCTCTTACACAACGCCCCTCTTATGTTTATCTGTGATTCTTTTAATTTCAACAGCCATGGCTTCTTTTTCTTAGCTTCTTTCTTCTTCTTCATCGTGAAATAATTATTTTAACGTTAAATGTAAAAAACAATTAACTCACTAGCACACAAACACGTAGATCAAAGAACACTGAATGATCTGCCGAGGGTATTTCCCGAGTCGAGCCGGACCGCGAAACGCGTCACGCATACCAACAACCTGGCTCGTTGCTCGTTAGAGTCAGTTCTTATTTAGAGACGAATTTTTTCCTCATATTTTCCTCGTATCTCGAATTTCTCGTATATAGAGGTGCTCGTATCTCGAGGTTCCACTGTATTATAACTAGAAAGTTCACAATTCGATAACGAATCAAATAATGCTTTAAATTAAAACGATCAACTAAATTACCTGTGTCCTGTCCAACGTTCGATTCTTTGTTTCAATCCCCAATGATCTTGAGTAATTTTTCTTTGAAGTGTCGAGTTTGATGTTAATTTGTCGAGAGCACGGAAAAAACTAAAACGTTTTGACTGCTCAATGATATCTCCAGAATATCATTGACTGATTTTCGAAAGCATTGTTTGTAAACGTAACCATTATTCAATCGAATGCGACCACACCACATGTGTATTTTTCTCTTCGCTCTTATTTTTTCTTCTCCATTTTGTTTTTGTTCGCCTTTCTGAATCATATTAACTAAGATGCTGATATCACTACAACTATGAAAGCAGTGAATAAAGGAACGGTAAGTATGTAGAGACATTAGGTATTTTTTGAAAGCAGGAAAGATGAAAAAATGTGCAATGCCCTCGCAGGGACTCGAACTTCGGACCTCTCGAACGCGCCGAACGTGCTAACGAAGGCATGCTAAGAAAGCGGGAGAAATACATTATATACTCCCCCTTTTAAAGGACGACGGGGGATTAGATGGCCCAGTCGCCAAATACTGGTGATGGATAATCATTATCCACCACCGTTTTTAGTTCGGGCGCCACTGTAGAGACGTTAGGTTATTTTGAAGCAGAAACATTAAAAATGAGCAATGCACTCGCCTGGACTCGAACCACGGACCTCTCGAATACGCGCCGAGCGTGCTGACCATTACACCGCGAAGGCATGCTTAGAAGGCGGGAGAAGTACCTTACAAGTAATAACGAAAATACAAATAATTAAAACAGGAAATTTATACCTTTAAAACCCACTCATCTCATATTAGCTTAAAACTATCATCAAAACAATTTGCAGAATTCCAATCATGAAATTAAAATATAATAATATGACTTACTGATCCTTCTAATTGTATTATTGGAGTCTTAAAATTCAGTTTTAATTATATAAAAATAAAATCTTACCTGATTTCCAAAATAAAATATGTGAAACTTAGGATTTCATTCCAAATTGCTTTACAAATCGTTCCCGTTACCAGCTTAACAAAGAAAAATTAAATTGAAAATTTTGATATTTTCCGGTGTTTTCAAACATTTAGTATTTTTATTTATTAAGAATTTGTATAAACGCTGCGAATAAACATGCCAGTAGAGCAAAAATATTTAATCGAAAATGTGAAACCTATTTTTTTTACAACTCCAAGCAGTAATAACTTTTACAAGTGAAGATAACTGGAGCAAATTCGGATATCTTCATCTATTTACATCTTAAATTTAAATATTATAGTGACTATCAAACAAGCATCGCAAAATGTAACATTCTGTAACCGTGAATATTGTTCAGCTGACTGGGTCTACGAAACACGCATCTCTTTTCCTCTCCGCCTTTTCTAATATAAGATAATTTTTGGAGGCTTATTCGTAAACACATAATTGTATCAAAACAGTATTCTTTCGCGCTAGCAAACTTATCTGCTCGGCATATTTGTAACCGTTTTAGTAAACAGAAAAGGGCACTTTAAACATAAGCGCAATGTGAAATTCTGTTCATATTTTTAATGATACAGAGTTGCGAGTCAGCGGTTCTCTTGGCAGAAAACCACTGCTATGCCTATAAATTAAACCAGAAAAATAATACAGTAGGGCGTATTAATTCCTACGTAAACAAATTAAATAGCTTAATTTATCTTGAATGTAACAAGGTTTAGATTTCTGACAATTAAGAGGTACTTATTTCGCGAATAGTTATATTGGTCACTCATTTTTCTCGTTCGTGAATAAAAAACAGATACGTGTTCCGAAAATATACTTTTTCCACGTATAGGCAACGAAACATTACCCGAAGATATATCCGGTTTACCATAAAATTGAATTTAATACCATTGAAAATTTATACACAGTCCTGGCAACGTAAAAGAGTACTGTAACAATGAAAAAGCCCATGGTAATAACTGTTCTTAAGTTCATAAGTAAAATTAAATTTTGCGCCTTGATAATATAAAGAAATTACTTTGAATTTCACGAAACCTACCAGTGGTTGTGTGCTCGCTGAATATTCGCAGTTCCGCATGGATTCGAATGCCATTGCATAAGCCAGGGATTCTCAACCAGTGGTACACAAGAGAAAAATAAATGGAACGCAAAGAAATAAAGTATTTTTAACAATTAAATTCAAAAATCTCCTGATGAAGAATAATAATTTATGGAAATTTCCTGTGATCGAACTCTAATTGAAGATTTCAAAAATAACACGCTTGTTAACTTTGGGTTGAACCCAAAAGAATGAATCTAATTGTGTGAACAAGAATTTTCTTCCATGTTATATTTGAAAAATAAATACAGAACAAAATTAAAACTGCATCATAATTTACGGCTAAAGCTAAGTGAAATTAAGACCAGACGTAAAGAAATTGATCTCTCTTAAACAGGCCTAAATTTCCCACTAAATTTTAAAATTAAAGTATTATAACTTAAATTTTGTTAATTAAAATGGTAACCAATTTTGTTTACTATTTTTTAATGTGTACGTATTTAATTCAAATAGCGAACAGATTGTCCAAATGGCAGAATGAATATGTAATTTTATAATATTTCTATTGAGGAATTGAAAACTAATCATTATTAAATGTAGTTATGGTACTAAGGTTTTTCCGTTTTTGTTTAGATGGTACGCGTTAGTCGAAAGGTTGAGAACAGATGACATAAGCTTTTTAGTGAATTTCTACATGTGTAAAATGAATGCTAAACAGGTTTTAAGAAAGTTGTAAAATTATTATTTTAAACTAACCGGTTATTATGATTTGGATATGTACACTTTAAGTCATCTTTTCCATATTCCTCACCAGAATGAAAATGAGATAGCCAGTATTTAAACAGAGATTTTTGGATTTTAAAACAAAATTTGTTTCTGACTTCGCGTGCAAGTTAGAAGTTAGTTTCATGCAGCTGTGATAGTTGTAATTATTCGGATTTGCATTCTATCGCTGCTGAAAATTCGGTTTTGATGCTCCAGTAGAGCTACTGAGTCAGCTTATAGTAGTATTTAATTGTGTAATTGCTGTCTACTGTTTCATGTTTGACTTAAATTTGTATGCTCTGTTTAGTTTCATCACCATGAGTTTTGGCTGATACTGTTAACATATTTATGTTCCAAATTCTGTTTAAATAAAAAGGTTATTTAAAAATCTTTCCCACAAATTTGTAGTTACTTCAGTCATAGCGATAATTCACTTCACGTCTGTTAGGGTTTTTAGAATCATTAACATTTCCAGACCAAGTAAAACTCCACAAAGTTCTTGAAGATGACACCCAACACTTTAATTGGGTAGCATTCGTATGCTTTTCGTAAATCTGCTTAAGAAACAATTAAATTGATGTTGATACGTGAGTGAAGCTATAAAATTTGGGAGTTACCTTTTCTCTGTTCTGTACCTATATAAACATTACCAACAAGTAATACAACATAATAAAAAATGAGTACACGATTTTTTGTTTCTTCTTCTCCTGATGTTCGTCCGTAAGGTACGTTTCTCCTGGAGCATGATTCGTAGCGCACTTTTGCGAAGCCAAGATTATGTAAGTGCTTTATTTTCAAACATATAATAATAAAGCAAACAAAGCATCAAAATGTGCATTTAAATAAAAAAGTAAACAAAATTTGAGAAAGCGCGCGTTTTTTCTTTACCAATATTCAGGCATTTTTAATATACAGATATTTTAGGTATGCCAGCTCATCAGTATAATTTTTATCCTTTGATTTCCATTTGCTTCTTCGCCGAAATTTTCTTTCCTTTTCTTTTCTCATTTCTTAGCATGACACCAGGAATTTAGAAGATCTTCCCGAGTTAGATATGAGGACCATTCCAGTTTGGAATATGGGCTATACAGGAAAAGGCATCGTGGTTTCGATAATGGACGATGGTGAGAAATATTTAATTACGTATCCATCTAAAGCTAATGAATGATTGTGTTCTTAAGTTGTGATGATGTATTTGAATACTTTTATAACTCTTGCGGGGTTTTGTATGAAGCTGAAGTTGACATTTAATTAAATTTAGTAAATTTCAACTCTCCAAAAGAATAAAAAATAAGAATTCTTTTGAAATTTTGATTTTTTTTTTTTTAATTTTATTTTAATCCTTTTTACTCGACAAAATTGTAACATCACTGAGATGGATACCAAATTAATTATAAAGATTTAGGATGGTCAATAACATATTTTGTTTAATTTAAAATAAATAGCCTGTTTATTTACTTTATTTTACTAATGCTTGTTTTCTAATCCACAGGGCACTAAATTCTTCATTTTAAATTATAATGATATTCATGCATTTTATCTGAATGAGTTTGTGAAAATATAACTAAAATATTTTTTCTCCCAAAATAAATGATTTGTAGGAAGATTTTGTTAAAATGGTTTATAAATGCATGCAAAAATATTTAAATAAAGATAAATTTAAAAAGTAAGAAAATTTTTGAGGGGCCGTCAAATTCCTAACTTAATAATTGGTTTCACATGACGTGAGGGAACTGATGATAGCAATTTTAAGAGGAGATAGAACATGGCAAATGTAACAATTCTAGTTATGCAGTGTATGGTGGAATGGGAAATGTGAACCCGGAAACACCGTATATATGAAGAAGATGGAAGAGGAAAAATCGTTTTAAACACGGATATTTACAAGATATAATGTTTGCCTAATAATTCAAATGAACGTTCAATAGTTTCGTGACATGCAGTGACGAATAAGTGATTAGCAGCGTATACTGTGCCCAGCACGTCGGCAGCAACAAAGATTTTTCGGGAGACAGGGTGTTCAGGAAAGCCAATTTGTTTTTCGTAAATATGATCCTTCATTGTTGTGATTTATGTATGGAAGTAGCGTTCGTTCATTTGAACCGATCTAGTAAATACCAAATACTAATTTTTGTAAAAAATCTGCGATTAAAGCGACATTTCTATTTCCATTTACTACCGAATTGTTACTTTTCATATGTCAGTCATATGTTCTCTTAACCCTTAAATTTGTGACAATCCGTTCTGTTACACCCCGTGTAAGAAACTCTAAGGTATTAATGCGTGTGTTTGACAGAAAATACTGTTTTTGACTGTGAAATATCTTGCTGCTAGAGTAAAATTTTAATATTCCTTTATTACTGCGTAAAATTTAAATTAAATTATTTTCGTGACAAAATAATATATTTCTTGGATTTGCGTTCCGCAGATGGTGAACTGAAGTATCTATTAATACAAGAATAGTTATGGAGAAACTACGCTGTTATGATTTACCTAAAGAGACTAGCAGGGACGGCGCTAAGCATTTTGCCGCCGATTGCGATCTCTGAGAGCCCTAAATCCTACTCTCGACGCACCTCTCTAAATTATAAAACTTTTACCGCCTTTAAATTCTACTTCCTAATATTTCCTTCAAATTCTAAAATTTTGCCGTACGTTATTTCTATAAATTCTAAAAATTTTGCTGCTTCTAATTTCCGCCCGGTACAAGTCGCATCAGTTATGCCGGCCCTGAAGACTACTATAATTCATCAAGCATACTTGTTAGATAGACTTGAAATAAGTTCTCATGCCATAGGTTTACCATCTAGCAGGGAAGGTTAAGGTACAATCATATGACAAACCAATACAACTGGTTATCTGCCTAAGAGGAGCTATATATTCGTGAAAGATTTTCTAAAGGGAATTGGCTCTTAACATACTTTCTGCATAGATGCTTCACATAACTCATACTTTCTTCACAAAACAATAAAAGCCGATTTCATCCATTCTGTTAAGCTTTTATAATCAGAGCCTGAAATAATTTGTCAGCGCTTAACGGTTTTACACATTCGGCCACTGGTGCGTCTAGTTGTAATAAGAGAGGAAATTAGAATTACATTTTGTATTAGAAATTTAAATCTTCAAGAGTACATTAAACTCCTCAAAGTATATTAATATCCAGTAAACAGAGAAATGGTCGTGTTTAAGAGGCTCATATACACTCGCTTAAGCGTATTGAAGGCGACACTCGCTTAAGCGTCTTATGTCGATAGGTATAAACACGGAAGTGGGTAGAATGAACTGTATAAAGCATTTTGTAAACACATTTCGAGAAATGAAGAATCCAAAGCTATTACGTTTCCTTTACTCTCTTACGTAAGCACGTGCAGAATATGTTTCTGATTTAGCTTCTGCTTCTAGTACTTCAAAACGTCTACGATGTCTGAAATGTTCCGAATCAGACGTGGTCTGCTGAATGAATAGGTGTCTGGATTTCCGATAAACTTAGATGTGGTAATGGAGATGTTAGCCGAATTATACCCTAATCCTTAAATTTGTTATATATATATATATGTATGCAGGTTATATACATGTATAGAATACAGATGCAGAAAGACTGAGGCACCTCAGTTTCACAATATAGCCTCAAGTGATTTATATGAATAAAGAGAACATGATTTCAATGTTAAGGGAATAGTGTTAAAATTATTTTTTAAAAAAATAATGTTAGACTTTTATTATTTGTTTAATTGCTTTGAATTTTGGTAATACAGTACACAAAACTGATTGCCTTTTTATGAGATGTTAACGAACAAAAAAATTTATTGAATACCCGAGAATTTATTTTCATTGATTAAATATAAGAATAGTCAAAATGAACGTTTTTGTTGAAATCTCAATAACGCTGTTTTTACAATTGCTTTTTTTGTAGTTTTATAGAAGTATACGACAGACAAATCTATGCAGCCATAAAATTCTTTAGTACTGCATTTAATCGCATATTCTCATACCATATATTTGCTCTTATTCATATTTTCAAATTAATCGCGTCGTAGCAACCTCAGATCTCTGTTTACAGATCCTGAAATGTTCAGTTCCGTCTTACGTTCAGCTTCATTTGATAATTTTTAGTTTAATTAAAAAGCAAGCTTTTCTTTTAAATGAGCGCAGATACGAAAAATAAATAAATAAAACCTTTCATTTAAGCATGTGCAGACAAACAAAGTTGTTACAAACCGAAGTAGGTCTGAGAGTCAGCTTATAAACTGAGACATTCGTAAGCTGGAAATAAATATTTGTTTTTAATTCCGCGTGTTATTATTGGTGTTGAACTAATTTTTATTAAAAGATAGTAGATATCTCGCCATTAAAATTAGTGCTTACATCATATTTCGATTGATTCGATTAAAATATTTTCGAAAACAGCTTCTGTTCTATTAAATGGGTAATTATCCAGAGATAAACTTCATGTAGTTATCGTAGCAAAATTTTAACTCTGATATTATTTAAAACAGATATTTTTTGTTTATGTTAGCTTTTCCATAGTGTCGGTTTCTTAATATTTATCTCTTTTAATGCACACTCATTATGCACTCTTAGTTTTACACTTATTATATTGCCATGATAAGTACAGAGGTTGTTTTAAAGAGCCGCGAATTTTACTTATTTGTAAACGATCATTTCTCACAACATAAAAAAGTGTTGTACATTATGTGATGAAGAAAAGATAAAATTTTGTAATATCAGACATTTTACGTATCTGTATTTGTATCATCTTAGCTCTTTGAGGGGCAGGAAAAGGCAATTAACCTTTTCAGCAAAACGTTTGTTTTAGTTACTATATCAGGTGTTGCAATGAAATTATTTGCGACGATTACACATATTTTGTCCAAGACGCGTGAAAAAAATGACCCTTTTTGGTGGTTAGCGTCAGTGGCCACCGCCCACAGAACACATCCTACAAATCAGTCTCTTTAGTACTCATGAAAATAGTTTTTCTCTTTCGAGCAGAGTGCAGCTTTGCATGTGCTGCATTTTCACACTGTTCTTATAGGCGTTTTCTTAGTGCTGCAGAGGGTGCACATCGTCGTGATGTTTTCTTCGATGTCTGATGCTTATTTTTTTGAAAACGAAATGCTGCATGAACTACTGACTTATTTTTCTTGATTGCCATCTAGTGAGCTACAAAAGAACTTCAGAAACAGTTAGTCTTGAAAACCACTCACACGAGTGAGTAAGACGTTCAGTAGAAAAGGTAGTTACTGTAGGTTAATCTCCGCCCTTCAAAGCGATAAACTGGCATAGTGGTAATCAATTTCGTGTCATGTGTATTCTAGCTGCGCAAATTACTATAGATCAGATAGTTAGAAAATTCTGTTAATATGATGGGTAAGACTTCTTGTATCCTGTATCTCTGACTGATCGTCAGAGAAATGAATCGGATTGGATTATTTAGGTTACGCGGAGGCATGCGAAGGTTATCTTTATGGATATCTATACTTTTTGGATGGCAGAGATACCTTTATAGAGGAATGTTTGACTAAAATGAGTTCCTATGCACATCACACTCCCATGCAGATATTTGATCCCGTTTCGAAATAATAGAAATTCTCAGAGGAATATCATAAAGAGTTGGGTATGAAAACCTAGAAGGACAGGAGCACAACAAACGTCATCTTGGGTGTTTCGATTTCTCCAGCTTTAAGAAATAATTACATTCTTATATAACAGTTTGAGTTAATTGAGCATGGGAATATATTCTTCCTTCTGTTCCCTAGAATTATATGACATAGTTTCCTGGTTATACAATAATTTAGCAAACAAATAAAATCTGCTCCTCCTTTTTCAAGCACCCTATATTTAAGTATATTAGCAGGGAATATTACTCCTGTTCAGTACAAGAAGTTCAGTTTAAATTCAGTTTATTGTTTGGAAATATTTTCATTTACATCTGCGGAATGGGAAACAGTTTATTGAGAAAACTGATCAAAAGAAAGGAAATAGTTTTCATGTATCTTGCGCATGCCATGTTGATAGGAAAACTAATCTAAAAGACGATGTTCGGTCCGAGGTTCGAATCCCGCGAACGGGCTGGCTGCATGGGTGTTTTCGTGGTTTTCCCCATGTGTAACGTGTATACGAGCCAGTTTCCCTTAGAAAGTCCTCCACGAAGGCATCCCTCCCTTTAGGCAGATAGCCCTCGAGGCTTTGCCATAATCACACACACACACACTTTCAGGATGGCTAATCAAAATTGATGGAGTTTCGAAAAGGTTGCTTTTAAAGGGCTGGACTAATTAATTTTTATACTTATTATTTTTAGAAGTAAGATACCATTATAGAGGAAAATACTAATGATGCTGAATATTTATTACGTACATATGATACATTTCATAAAAACCGTGGTCAAATTACTAACTGCAACTGTATTGTTTAATTTTCGAAAAATAACGTCATCCAACTTTTAATGAAATATCCCGGTTCCTATATTTATATATGAAAAATTTTTATACTCGTTACCAAAGATAATATTAGAAGAAGTTTGACTTTCGTACGCCAAAAATTGACCGGGATGTATAATTTTAAAATTTACAATTTTTGATGTCATTTACAATTTGCTTTGAAAAATCGGTTAATTAAATTAGAATATTTCAAGGAAACAAGTTTAAATGAAGCCCAGCAAAGAAAATGTGTCTAATTTAATAAGCCGTACAAGGAAGTCACGTGGTGTCCACATTAGATTTTTTCTATTGGAAGCGTAGCTTCAGTAGGTTAATCGATGAAACCGCGAATAATATGCAGTAAACTCGTAATCAGAAGGAACCCACCTGCTTCCAAGCGGTGAAACCGGTTTCGAATACCGGCAAATGGGCTGACTACAAGATGTTTTTGTAGTTTTCCGCATGTAATAACGTATATACGAGCCAGTTTCCTTTAGAAAGCTCTCCACGCAGGCATCCCACCTCTTAGGCAGATAGCCCTCGCGTTCTTTGTCTTAATCAAATAAACCAAACAAAAACTTTTAATCAGAAAGAGGGTTTCCTTGATGTCTTTCGCTTTCGTTCCATTCCGAATAAAAAGTGTAAAGACCGTTTTATTGGCGAGGAAAGTATCAGACCTGTGCTACTTTCAAAAAGAATTCGTTAAACTTTGTATTTATGTTTGCTTACTCTTTTTTAGGCCTGGAATGGAATCATACGGACATTCGAAGGAACTACGTAAGCACATTTTAAAATCGAAATAGTCTTTTCAACATAATTCTATGTCATAACAGAATATAATACTATTACATAAAATAGCTATAATTATTTGTTTTACGTAATTATATATTATTTCTGTATAAAAATAGCTGAAAAGAGTTACGGTACTACAATTTTATATTGGATATCAGCAATCTGATTTTCAATGTATAGTGTTAGGCAAAATTTATATCGTACACCATTTGTATTTTACTCTTCAATGCCCTATAACTTTTAACTGGCATGTTTGCAGTGTAACATTTGGAATTAGTTATGTGTTGTTAATTAATTATACTTACTATTATGAAAATTATTCAACGTGAGTCTGCATTAAGTTAACATGTTCAACCTTTAGATATAATAAAATAGTTTCAATGTCTTGCGGTAAGTTTAGGAAAATGCATTCGTTAAGGAAATCATAAGATTTTCAATTTAGAAACATTCATGCACCCAAATATTTCCTAGAGAAATTATTAAAATAACAGTCAAACCTCTGAAACACAACATCTAAAATTATTTCAGGAAAGCAAAATTTTTTTAATAAATCGCAAACCAAAGATGAATTTGGCCACCTTTGCTATTTATAGTTTAATCTCGGGCATTAACTTTTAGATCCATTGTTAAACAGGATAGATCGTTGCATGAAAGATGATTATTTTTAAATTTTTTTTTCATGTGCAAGCAATTTAATAATTCTTTGTTGGAACTTTGATTTTTTAATTCAAATGTATTTATTCTTTTACTTTCATTGGCTGGCACTCATTCCGGATTGCGCGGGAGAATGCAGTTCCTTTGCAGACCTGATATTTCTCAAAATAATTAGAATCTCTTTATTTATCTTTAAGTAGGGAATTTTAAACACATAATTTACAACATCTAAAACTTAACTTGTTGATACAATGTATAAAAAGTAAAAGTTAATTATTATCATAATGTATAATATCCGAAAGATGAATTGTTATATTTAGTATTGTCATTTCAGGATCCTAAAGCAAGCTGGGACACGAATGACAATGATCCAGATCCTTTCCCAAGATACGACGAATCTGATTCGAATAAGTAAGAAAAAGCTACGAGAAGTTTTTTAAAAAATATTTTCCTCATGTTCATTGCCAAGATTGTAATAAAATGTAAAATATTTTCTTTTTAGTCATGGAACTCGTTGCGCTGGTGAAGTTTCTATGACTGCTAACAACGAAAAATGTGGTGTAGGCGTAGCATATAATTCAAAAATAGGAGGTAAGAAAATAACAAGTTAAATAAATCAAGTGTAATTATTTCATGTAAAAACACTTCAAGTTCTTAATTGTCTTCTGTAGCGGCATCGGCGAGAAATTGCATCTGCCGAGTTTCTACATTAGCAACAAGTAACGCATGTGCGAAATAAGTACTTGGTTGTATTCTAGCACATTTCGGACCATCACCGGTGTATGCCGAAAAGCAAAGCTATGTCATGGTGGAGGTCGAAAAGAGGAACAAAGAGGTAGAGATAGGCTTTATAAAAGCAAAGGCCTCTTGTATAGTTCAAAGTGTTATAAAGTTTAAGTGTTTGATGAGACGTTAATGGCTGCAGTGTTTTTCAAGTCTAAACTTCGCTTTATGGAAAACCAAGACCTAAGTTCTGAGACGTTTCCTAAAGTAAAGCCATGCACATTGGTACCGTCGTATTTACGATGAAAGAAAACGAAAACCTTTTAAGACAGACTCTTCAGAAATCAGTGTTTCTAGCCCATTCAACAATTCTTGTGAATTTACATATTTAGGAAATTTTCTAAAAACTTACATGGAAGAAAATCTAAAATCTCATAAAACCTTTGGCTAAAAGCAATTGTTTTAAGTAAAGGAGTATGAGAGCAAAATATCGTATTTTATTGTTAAAAAAAATACAAGCAAAATCAGAAACGTAAACATAAGATTGTAAGGAAAACCAAAATAGCCTATTTTTGTAGCTTTAGTTTCTCGAAAATATTTGGTCTCAAGAAATATTTTATGGCATTCATGTCTTATGTAAACGTTTTATTTGAAACAAGGGAGCGCTTTTGATTAAATAATTTTTTTCATCGACAAATACATATTCTAGCTGCAGTGTAAGCATCGGGAATAAGATATTTTTATGTTACGTAAAAGACCGATTCGTTGTCTGCCTTTTTTATTATTATTATTGATATTCAGAATAAAGCTATTCTTTAAAAGAAAAAAAAAGTACTTTTAGATGCATTTATCTGAGCAAATACTTTCGTTACGAGGAAAAGAATATTTATTCAAGAAATGTATTGAAAGACGATATTTATTTCTCTATGTCAAAATTATTCATGTGATACTTTAGCAATGTTATGTAATGTCAGGTTATAAAATTTTCACCGTAAGCAAGAAACAATTCAATTTAAAATTATAACACTTTTTCCGCTAGTTTTTTCTATAAATTTCGCAAACTCAGAATGATACATAAATTCTTGTTAAAAGCAGAAATAAATAAATGTTTCATAAAACCTATTTATATGATTGAAGGTAAATAAGTTCAATGTGAAATATTTCGAAATTAACAGTCATTAATTTACCAAAAGCTAAAATATATATTTGTTCTAAAATAGAAAATTATATTTCTAAACGGTAATATCTTCTATAAATAAAGTTTATTAATAGAAGCAAAGCAATCCTTTAAGTCTTTTGAAAATTCATTCAGAAAATAATGGAAAATCACCAATGTACATATATAGAAGTATTACATGTAGATCTAGAAAAATAGGTATATAAGTAGCTAGATTCAAGAGACGTTTAAGCATTAATATGAGATGCTGTTATGTATACATGGAAGAACAATTTAATGTTTGATGCAAGAACAAACTATAATGTTTTAGTGGCAGTCAGTTACAAGATCATGGCAAAGAATAAGATAGTAAGGTGAATTTTGCTTAAAAATAAGGGGAAGAGTTAATGCTTTAGGTGGTGATTTGAGACTTAATTTTATTTCTGGTAGCTTACCCTTCTTCCCAAAAGGCACGTTTGGTATTCATTACAGTGCTACCAGATCGTGTGATTTTTCGAAAATTTGCGACTTTTAACAAACTTGTGCTACTAAAATTTTAGTATTTGCAATTTTGAGAAATTTTTGCGACATCCATCATTTTCTTATGCTACTTTTTGCGACTTCAAAGATTTTTTTTAATGTATCGTAAAATGCTTTTATGTTAAAATAATGCATCAATTAAAAATAATTTATATTAAAAACAGTTTGTTTAGGCTTAAATAGAAGTTGGCATCTGGCAATGCAGAGCCTGACGCCGGTGTAACGAGAAGCGAGTAGGAGAAAAGTTGTGTGTGTGTGTGTGTAATTATGGCAAAGCCTCGAGGGCTATCTGCCTAAGTGGAGGGATGCCTTCGTGGAGGACTTTATAAGAGAAACTGGCTCGTATACACGTTACACATGGGGAAAACCACGAAAACGCCCACGCAGCTAGCCCGTTCGCGGGATTCGAACCTCGGACCGAACTGCCAGGTAGGAGAAAAGGAAAAAGTGGAAAAAAAAAAAAAAAAAAAACTGCTTCAGGACCTCTCACCTTCCCCCCTCGTCCTCCGTGAGTTTGGTTTTTACGTCAGTCCCCCCCCCCGTTCTATGGTGATAGCAAATCGAAAAAAAGAACTTTCAGCTTGCGCACCTTTTATTAAGTACCCAAACAGAGAAAGAAATAAAATTCATTCTCCTGATTTATAACACTGCTAAGAACTATGCAATGTAAATGTATTAAAAATCAACGCAACGTCATCTTTCTAAACAACGACGCAAATAAATGTAACAGTGAAAGAACAAGGCTTTCATAAGTAATCAGAATCTGAAATAAATCGGTCACGCAGAACGGAAATCTCACTAAAAAACATTCCTTAATTAAAATGTTCGCAATTAAGCAAAAAAAAAAAAGAGGAGGAACTTGAAAAATTTAATTACCAACCCAAAAAATTTATTACAAGAGTCCTAACAGTCTTCGCGAGAGATCTCTTAAGAATGAATGATGTGTACAAATTAATTTTAAAAAAACTAAATTAAATGAGAATTAATTTTAAAAAAGAATAAAAAAGAAATGGATATTTAAACAATTAAAAATGAACACTATAGTTTAAAAATTTTTCGTTAAAGCTAAGATCTGTAATTAAAAAGATTAAATCGAGTACAGTAACTTACGGAACCAATAAACAGTAAATTTGTGATGACATCAGATGTCATGTTAGCATGCGTAAATATGAATTCATAAAAATCATGTGATCTCTGACGTTATTTGCGATTTTTTGCGAATTTTTGAGTCCTGCTTTGCGACTTTAGTTGAAAAATTTCTGGTGACACTTATTCATTACAGCAAAACTCAAATCTCCAGATCCATTCAGAGTTTCGAAGCTCTGAAATATGGGTAGGAAATTGCATCGAGAAAAGAAAACAAGTAACAATAATTTTATTTAAATTCAAAAGTGGAAGAAAAGGGCAAAAACTGATGTAGCAAAATAAATTAGCAAATATTTTTTTACACATTTCTTTTACTATAATAGAATTTTTTTAGAGAAAGAATGGAGATTAGAGAATTACAGAATATTAGAAAGAAAGAATTTTAAAACGCTTTAATAAAGTTCATAAATTAGGAAATTCCTTATGGAATACAACAATGAAAATAACAATTGAAGCAGAGGTTGGTAAACATATAAGAGTGGCGTGCAGACATTCAAAACACTTATTTCCTTTAGAAATATTCTAATCCAATATGAATAGGCTACAACTTTTAGGTGATGTACTGTTTATCAAAGCTTAATTGATGTTTCATGTCCAATAAAAACTATATAGTGCTGATCAAAATTTCATAGACAGCTGAAGAATTCATTTGGGGTTTAAAGAAATGTGAGGTTCATATTGTCTTCTACATAGAATGATAAAACAAAATATGCTATGAAGAAATCACTTATTCTGAAATCAATTATTATTATCAGAGCTCAGTTATTATTATCAGTTGCAAGTGTTCTGGTGGACTTCCACCAGAACTCCATCCACCATTGCTTTATACACCAGTGCAAACTATTCTACGCAATATTCTGGTCTACCCACGGTGAAACTTTGAGTATAGGAAAATTTAATTTGAGCTCGATTACTTGCGACTGAAATGATAGTCTAAGCATAGTACTATTGCTCTTTACTGAAAGTTATAGCATATTCTTTCCATTTGAATTTTAAACATCTGTATTCGAATAAGAACTTTACAAACTTAAATTTATAGCTCAATATAACGGTAAAAATACAAACGTGAGCGCTTAATAAATGAAAAGATACCTGAAAAAAGTCTATAAAGTTTGTTTTAAATAACTACTATTTTAACTAATTATCAGATTACTAAAGATTTGTAAGGATTATGATTAACAATTAAGTTTTAAGTTATTATTACTTCCGGCCAGAACTTAGTTTTGGAATCATTCTGAATACTTAATGAGGAGGAGCGGTATTTAAACCGCGAAGTCCACTTGCTGAGTTAGAGATAATCAGAGGTTTTGATTTGCGCGCGCCTGTCGTTTGGCTACTCTCTCTCTCTCTCTCTAAGCTGTTATCACGCTCCGCCGTACTCAGGCCCTTGATAAGCTTCGTAGTCAAATGGCGTTACGGAGCCAACTCGATTAGAATCTTGATTTAGCTTCAGCTATATCTCTTTAGTTATTTTAGTTTTAGTTTAATTTTTAGTCTCTTAAGTTGATGCCGAAGTGTCGGCTTTTATTGTACACGTCCAGACGGAGTTTTATTAAATCTTATTGGAATAATAAAGGGTTAGTTACCCTTCCTTCTTGTTGTTTCTTGTTACACGAACTTAAGCGATTATTCGCTATCTAGTTCTTAAGATTCGTCACTTTCTACAGTAACTGAGAAATACAATAGTGAGAGTCTTACAGATTAACTCGTTTAGGTGCAGTTATCACCGTCATTGTTAGCTGTATGCACGGCAAGTAGAAAATAAAGCAGAAAATAAAATAAAGCTTGAAATAAAATTTAATATCTGAGACTGGTAAAATTTACAAAACTGAAATGTTTCAATAAAATAAAGCTCGAAACAAACTTTCAAGCTTTGAGACTTTTAAGATCTGCGAGCTGTAAAAAATTACAAAACTGAAAATTTTCTAAGTTCTTAAACACCTAGTACTTACCAGAAAGTAAGTCAAATTAAACTACAAATTAAAATTTTATACACTTTGATTCAGGCTTTAATTAATAGTTCAGA